GCAATGCTTGATCAGATATTTACCCAAAATGAGTTGGATATAAGGGAAGTTAAGTTGGAAGCTTCCTTGGGAATGAGTGATCACACTGTATTGATCTTTGAGTACCTGGTAGAGCTAGGAATTATCTCCCCCCAAAAAAGTACTGGGAAACAAAGGGCTGGTGTACCGAAAGGGAAATTATGAGGAGATGAATAAATTCCTAAGGGATATACCGTGGGACACCGAACTCAGAGCTAAGTCCGTACAAGACATGATGGACTATGTCACTCAAAAGTGTCAGGAGGCAATATGCAGGTTTATCCCGACCCGACAGGAAAAAAACGAGAACCAAAAGAAGAATCCTTGATTTAATAGGGAATGTATGAAAGCAAAGGAACTGAACAAAAAGGCGTGGAGTAGCTTCCGAAATAACAGAACACCAGCAAGCAGAGAGAGCGATATCAAAGAACCAGGAACGAGTATGTTAGTGTGTGAAGAGAAGGTGAGAAAAAGTATGAAAATGATATAGCAAATAAAGCTAAGATTGAAAGACTGAACCAAAGCTACTCCACAGTCATATCTGGAGGAAAAGAACAGTGGAAGAACTGGTGATTAAACTTAGAAAGGGTGAGGACAGGTGCACAGAGAATGACATAGAGGTGAGTGAAGTACTCAACAAGAGGTTCCAGGTCTTCACAATAGAACAAGGAGAGGTCACGGCGCAAGAAGAGGTGGCAGTATACCGGGCGGCCTTGGAAGGGTTCGAAATTACAAGAGTTGTAGTCAATAGGCACCTGTTGAAGCAGGACGTGAGAAAGGCTGTTGGCCCGGACGGAATCTCACTACGGGAATTGAAAGAGTGTGAAGGAGCGCTTTGCTTGCCACTCTCCTTAGTGATACTAACCATAGGTCACTGGAAACGGGAGACCTACCAGAAATATGGAAGACTGCTAATGTAGTCCCAATATACAAAAAGGGTGACTGACAAGAGGCACTGAACTACAGGCCAGTGTCCTTAACTTGCATACCAATCAAGGTGATGGAGAAGATTGTGAGAAAAAACGTAGTAACACATCTGGAGAGAAGGGACTTCGTGAAAACCTATCAACATGGGTTCAAAGAGGGTAAATCTTGCCTTACAGGCTTAATAGAATTATACGATCAGGTAACAAAGATTAAGCAAGAAAGAGAAGGATGGGTGGACTGCATGTTTTTGGACTGTCGGAAAGCCTTTGGCACAGTACCCCATAAAAGGCTGATGCATAAACTGAAGTAATAGGCAGAAGTAACTGGTAGGGCGCTCCAGTGGATAAGGGAGTACCTAAGCAATAGGAAACAGAGAGTTGCAATGAGGGGTGATACCTCAGATTGGCGCGAAGTCACCAGTGGAGTCCCACAGGGCTCTGTACTCGGACCTATCCTGTTTCTGATATACGTAAATGATCTCTCAGAGGGTATAGATTCATTCCTCACAATGTTTGCTGACGACGCCAATATTATGAGAAAGATTAAGACAGAGGAGGACTGCTTGAGGGTTCAAGATGACCTGGACAAGCTGCAGGAATGGTCGAATAAATGGATGTTAGTGTTTAACCCAAACAAATGTTATGTAATGAAGATAGCTGTAGGGAGCAGGAGACCAGATTCACGGTATCATTTGGGAAATGAAATACTTCAAGAGTCAGAGAGAGAGAAAGACCTTAGGGTTGATATCACACCAAACCTGTCCACTGAAGCTCATATCGAGAGGATAACATCAGCGGCATATGCCAGGTTGGCTAACATAAGAACGGCCTTTAGAAACTTGTGTAAGGAATCTTTCAGAACATTATATACCACATATGTTAGACCAATCCTGGAGTATGCGGTTCCAGCATGGAGTCCTGGTTGATACCTGGTTGATGGGGTTCTGGGAGTTCTACTCCCCAAGCCCGGCCCGAGGCCAGGCTTGACTTGTGAGAGTTTGGTCCACCAGGCCAGTCCATATCAAGTCAAGCATAGGACTAAACTGGAAAAGGTTAAAAGATTCGCCACCAGACTAGTACCAGAATTGAGGGGTATGAGCTACGAGGAGAGACTACGGGAATTAAACTTCACGTCACTGGGAGAGAGAAGAGTTAGAGAGGACATGATCACCACAGACAAGATTCTCAGAGGAATTGATAGGGTAGATAAAGACAGATTATTTAACACAAGGGGCACACGCACTAGGGGACACAGGTGGAAATTGAGTGCCCAAATGAGCCATAGAGACGTTAGAAAGAATTTGTTAAGTGTCAGAGTAGTCGACAAATGGAATGTATTAGGAAGTTATGTGGTGAAGGTTGACTCCATAAACAGCTTCAAGTGTAGATATGATAGAGCCCAATTAGCTCAGGAACCTGTACATTAGTTGATTGACAGTTTGAGAGACTGGACCAAAGAGCCAGAGCTCAACCCCCACAAGCAAAACTAGGTAAGCACAACTAGGTAAGTACTCACACACACACAAACACACACTCACAATGCTTGCCAGTCACAATACTGGAGCGTTACTGGAGACGGGAAACCTACCAGAAATATGGAAGACAGCTAATTTAGTACCATTATATAAAAAGGAGACAGACTACAGGCTAGTAGTCTTGCATGGTACACTAGTCCTTGACTAGTGTACCATGCAAGGCGATGGAGAAGATCGTGAGAAAAAACCTAGTAACACATATGGAGAAAAGGGACTTCTGACAAATCGCCAAAACTGGGTTCAGGGAGGGCAAATCTTGCCTGACTGGCTTAACAGAATTCTACGACCATGTGACAAAGATTAAGCAAGTAAGAAAAGGACGGGCGAACTGCATTTTCTTGGACTGTCGGAAAACCTTTGACACAGTACCCCATAAGAGACTGGAACATAAGTTGGTGAGACAGGTAGGAGTAACTGGTAAGATGATCCTGTGGATAAGGGAATAATTAAGCAATATAAAGCAGAGAGTTACAGTAAGGAGTGAAACCTCAGATTGGTGTGAAGTCACCAGAGGAGTCCCACATGGCTCTGTACTCAGTCCAATCCTGTTTCTGATTTACGTAAATGATCTTTCGGAGGGTATAGACTAATTCCTCTCAATGTTTACTGACGATGCCAAAATTATGAGAAGGATTAAGACAGAGGAGGACTTCTTGAGGCTTCAAGATATCCTAGACAAACTGAAAGAATGGTCAAACAAATGATTGTTAGAATTTAACCCAAACAAATGTATTGTAAAAAAGATAGTTGTAGGGAGCAGGAGACCAGAAACAAGATATCATTAGGGAGATGAAATTCTTTAAGAGTCAGAGAGAGAGAAAAAGACTTGGGGGGGTTGATATCACGCCAGACCTGTCCCCCTGAAGCCCATATCAAGAGGATAACATCAGCGGCATATTCTAAGTTGGCCAACATAAGAACGGCATTTAGAAACTTGTGTAAGAAATCATTCATAACTTTGTATACCACGTATGTCAGACCAATCCCGGAGTATGCAGCTCTAACATGGAGTCCAAATCTAGTCAAGCATGAGACTAAACTCGAGAAGGTTCTAAAGTTTGCCACCATAATAGTACCCGAGCTGAGAGGTATGAGCTACGAGGAGGGACTACGGGAATTAAACCTCAAGTCGCTGGAAGACGGAAGAGTTAGGGGGGACATGATCAAACCATACAAGATTCTAAAACGAATTGATAGGGTAGATAAGGACATGCTATTTAACACAAGCACACGCACTAGGGGACACAGGTGGAAATAGTGCCCAAATGAGCCACAGAGACAAGAAAGAACTTTTTCAGTGTCAGATTAGTTAACAAATGGAATGCATTAGGCAGTGATGTGGCGGAGGCTGACTCCATACACAGTTTCAAATATAGATAAGACAAGAGCCCAGTAGGCTCTGAAACCTGTACATCAGTTGATTGACAGTTGAGAGACGGGGACCAAAGAGCCAGAGCTGAACCTCCGCAGCACAACTAGGTGAGTACAGCTATATAATCAATGTTAGGCTAGCACTGATATATAAGCACTGTCATACAAGCACTGCTATAAGCACTGTTAGGGTAACACTGTTATAAGCACTGTTAGGGTAACACTGTTATAAGCACTGTTAGGGTAACACTGTTATAAGAACTGTTAGGGTAACACTGCTATGAGCACTGTTAGGGTAACACTGTTATAGGCACTGTTAGGGTAACACTGTTATAAGAACTGTTAGGGTAACACTGCTATAAGCACTGTTAGGGTACCACTGCTATAAGCACTGTTAGGGTAACACTGCTATAAGCACTGTTAGGGTAACTGCTATAAGCACTGTTAGGGTAACACTGCTATAAGCACTGTTAGGGTAACACTGCTATAAACACTGTTAGGGTAACACTGCTATAAGCACTGTTAGGGTAACACTGCTATAAGCACTGTTAGGGTAACACTGCTATAAGCACTGTTAGGGTAACACTGCTATAAGCACTGTTAGGGTAACAATGTTATAAGCACTGTTAGGGTAACACTGCTATAAGCACTGTTAGGGTAACATTGCTATAAGCACTGTTAGGATAACACTGCTATAAGCACTGTTAGGGTAACACTGATATAAGACTGTTAGGGTAACACTGCTATAAGCACTGTTAGGGTAACATTGCTATAAGCACTCTTAGGATAACACTGCTATAAGCACTGTTAGGGTAACACTGATATAAGACTGTTAGGGTAACCCTGCTATAAGCACTGTTAGGGTAACACTGCTATAAGCACTGTTAGGGTAACACTGCTATAAGCACTGTTAGGGTAACACTGATATAAGACTGTTAGGGTAACACTGCTATATAAACAAAGTTAGTTAAGCAGTGTGAGGTAATCAGTGTTGTGGAAGAGGAACACGTTCAGGAGAGACTCAGCGGTGTTCCAGGAACCCAGAGGTTGCCAGGTCGACCAATGTGTTAAGAAAACGAGTCATAATATTCGTCGTCCTGGACTGGTTAGCTGCGGCTCCGGCCGGACAACACAGCTCCAGTTTTTACACAGCGCGGACCCAGGGAACTGTGAGAGGTGCCAGCGCTCTCCTTGGGGAACATCTCTCAGTACATCCTTAAGCGCCCGGGGAACCCCACACCAGCCACACGTGTCCCGCCAGCAACACCTACTGAACCATTCACCTGCCACAGGTCTTGGTCAGTATCACCTCCTCTCAAGCAGTCGTCAACACCTTCACCTCTCCAGCAGAAGCCACGATGAAGCTGTTGCTGCTCTCAGCTCTGTTGCTGACGGTAAGTGGAGCTTTTTAATACCTTGTTCCAGACGAACAAGGCCAGTATTCAATCACAATATGATTTAATAATAATGGTATAATAAGTATTATAATAAGTATAAATATAATGGAATGTGAAAAAAATCGCGAAATTCAGAGATAGCACCATCAATGGAGTCCAAGAAATGTGTAAGTACTTCATTCATAATGATGTACTGTCGGGAAGTATAGCGAATTACCCAAAATTTGCTTACTGTAGGTAATGCATGCCTGACTGTAAAGCTGTGGAACAAGACTAGTGACAAGCTGTGGGTGGGTGTGGAGCAAGACTAGTGACAAGCTGTGGGTGGGTGTGGAGCAAGACTAGTGACAAGCTGTGGGTGGGTGTGGAGCAAGACTAGTGACAAGCTGTGGGTGGGTGTGGAGCAAGACTAGTGACAAGATGTGGGTGGGTGTGGAGCAAAACTAGTGACAAGCTGTGGGTGGGTGTGGAGCAAGACTAGTGACAAGCTGTGGGTGGGTGTGGAGCAGGACTAGTGACAAGCTGTGGGTGGGTGAGGAGCAAGACTAGTAACTGTGACTCACCAAAGATGTAAAGTGCCTTGTATAGTGACTTTTGTTAGCCTCTTGTTGAATCACTTGTGATATAAAAACGATAATCGACGTGTATATGTATTTGGGTAAATGATTAAATATATATGTACATGTATATATAACATTAAAAATTGTGTAACTAGCTTCAAAAGATTGTCACTTGCTTAGCTAAATGAACTATGGTGTTCAGTTCCTGAACTCATTATGTGTCTCTGTAACCCTTTCCACCACCGCCCACGGGATGGGTATGGGGTGCATAATTAGGAAAGAATCAATCAAAATAATTTAATATTATTTGTTGATATGCATCACATAAGTCACATTTTTCATCACATTTTGCATCCAATACCCATCCTGTACGTGGTAGCGGACCCCGTACCTATCATTTGAGTTGTATTGAACCCCATACCCATTCTGTGAGTAGTATTGGACACCTATCCCATTCTTGTGTATGATATTGCACCCAATAATCATCTTGCGAGCGGTAGTGAATCCCATACCCATCCTGCGAGCGGTAGTAAACCCCATACCCATCCTGCGAGTGGTAGAGAACCCCATACCCATCCTGCGAGTGGTAGAGAACCCCATACCCATCCTGCGAGTGGTAGTGAACCCCATACTCATCCTGCGAGTGGTAGAGAACCCCATTCCCATCCTGCGAGTGGTAGAGAACCCCATACCCATCCTGCGAGTGGTAGTGAACTCCATACTCATCCTGCGAGCGATAGAGAACCCCATACCACTCCTGCGAGCGATAGTGAACCCTATACTTATCCTGCGAGCGGTAGTGAACCCCATACCTATCCTGCGAGCGGTAGGGAACCTCATACCCATCCTGCGAGCGGTAGAGAACCCCATACCCATCTTGCGAGCGGTAGAGAACCCCATACCCATCCTGCGAGCGGTAGTGAACCCCATACTTTATCCTGCGAGCGGTAGTGAACCTCATACCCATCCTGCGAGCGGTAGTGAACCTCATACCCATCCTGCGAGCGGTAGTGAACCCCATACCCAATCTGTGAGTGGCAGTGGACCTCATACCCATCCTGGGAGCGGTAGTGAACCCCATACCCATCCTGCGAACGGTAGTGAACCACATACGCATTCTGCGAGCGGTAGTGAACCTCATACCCATCCTGCAAGTGGTAGAGAACCCCATACCCATCTTGCGAGCGGTAGAGAACCCCATACCCATCCTGCGAGCGGTAGTGAACCCCATACCCATCCTGCGAGCGGTAGTGAACCTCATACCCATCCTGCGAGCGGTAGAGAACCCCATACCCATCCTGCGAGCGGTAGTCAACCCCATACCTATCCTGCGAGCGGTAGTGAACCCCGTAACCATCCTGCGAGCGGTAGAGAACCCCATACCCATTCTACGAGCGGTAGTGAACCCCATACTCATCCCGAAAGCGGCAGTGAATCCCATACCTATCCTGTGAGTGGCAGTGGACCCTGTAACCATCCTTTAGATGGTTCCATACCTATTTTCTTTAAGTGCTTTTAGATCCCCTATCCTTTCCATATTAAGGAAAGGGTTACAGAGGTATATAATGGGTGCACGAATTGAACACCTTAGTTCATTTAGCTAAGCTTGTGGCAATCTTTTGACGCTAGTTACACAATTGTTAATGTTATATATATTCATGTACATATTAGTATATTTTGGTAGCAGTCTTTCTTGTAAACATATGTTGTTGAATTTGACTGAAAGGGTATGATAAATGATTCTATCACGAATCTTCTCAATATTTCTTACGTTTTTCTTCACTGTCAAGGGTAATACAAAAATTAACTCTCCAAAGTTCCATTTCACATTTTTATTTATGGAATTGGACCATAAATTGGATTGTGAGTGGTAATGAACTTGGAGAGTTAATTTTATAATTACCCTCGGGAGTGAAGAAAAACGTAAGAAATATAGAGAAGATTCGTGTTAGAATCTTACCCTTTCGGTCATATACAACAACACATGTACATATTTCTATTCAATCATTTACACAAATATATATATATATATATATATATATATATATATATATATATATATATATATATATATATATATATATATATATATATATATATGTCGTACCTAGTAGCCAGAACGCACTTTTGAGCCTACTATGCAAGGCCTAATTTGCCTAATAAGCCACGTTTTCATGAATTAATGTTTTTTCGACGACCTAACCTACCTAACCTAACCTAACCTACCTTTTTTGGTTACCTAACCCAACCTAACCTATAAAAATAGGTTAGGTTAGGTTAGGTAGGGTTGGTTAGGTTCGGTCATATATCTACGTTAATTTTAACTACAATAAAACAAAATTGACCTCATACACAATGAAATGGGTAGCTTTATCATTTCATAAGAAAAAAATTTGAGAAAATATATTAATTCAGAAAAACTTGGCTTATTAGGCAAATCGGGCAATTAGGCAAATTAGGCAAACCTACTATGCAAGGGCATAGTAGGTTGAGAAGTGCGTTCTGGCTGTTAGGTACGATATATATATATATATATATATATATATATATATATATATATATATATATATATATATATATATATATATATATATATATATATATATATATATATATATATATATATATATATATATTTATATATATATATATTGTGTTTTTCAAGAGATCCATAACCTTTAAGCACCTTTTTGCATTATTATTTTTGTATCAACCCATGTATATCTTGTAACCATCAAATGCATAATAAAGCACAAAAAATAACAAAGGAAGGGGGTGGTAGGAGAAAAGCACACAGAAACTGTATTGGAGGGGATCTAAACATTCCCTCTAATGCGTTATGTGTGGTTTCCTCCGAGGCTATGGGTCCCCCTTCTTCCAGCTAGAGGTGGTACTCCCTTCCTATATATATATTATATATATATATATATATATATATATATATATATATATATATATATATATATATATATATATATATATATATATATATATATATATATATATATATATATGTCGTACCTAGTAGCCAGAACGCACTTGTCAGCCTACTATGCAAGGCTCGATTTGCCCGATAAGCCAAGTTTTCCTGAATTAATATATTTTCTCAATTTTTTTTCTTATGAAATGATAAAGCTACCCATTTCATTGTGTATGAGGTCAATTTTGTTTTATTGTAGTTAAAATTAACGTAGATATATGACCGAACCTAACCAACCCTACCTAACCTAACATAACCTATCTTTATAGGTTAGGTTAGGTTAGGTAGCCGAAAAAGTTAGGTTTGGTTAGGTTAGGTAGGTTAGGTAGTCGAAAAAACATTATTTCATGAAAACTTGACTTATTAGGCAAATCGGGCCTTGCATAGTAGGCTGAGAAGTGCGTTCTGGCTACTAGGTACGACATATATATATATATATATATATATATATATATATATATATATATATATATATATATATATATATATATATATATATATATATATATATATATATAACTGAAAACTCACACCCCAGAAGTGACTCGAACCCATACTCCCAGATGCCACGCAACTGGTATGTACAAGACGCCTTAATCCACTTGACCATCACGACCGGACATAATGAGGTGATAGCCGAGGCTATTTGAACCACCCCACCGCCGGCACTCGGATAGTAATCTTGGGCATAGCATTTTAACAAATCACCTCATTCTTTGAGGCACACGTGAGGAACACAAATGCGAACAAGCCTGAATGGTCCCCAGGACAATATGCAACTGAAAACTCACACCCCAGAAGTGACTCGAACCCATACTCCCAGATGCCACGCAACTGGTATGTACAAGACGCCTTAATCCACTTGACCATCACGACCGGACATAATGAGGTGATAGCCGAGGCTATTTGAACCACCCCACCGCCGGCACTCGGATAGTAATCTTGGGCATAGCATTTTACCAAATCACCTCATTCTTTGGGGCACACGTGAGGAACACAAATGCGAACAAGCCTGAATGGTCCCCAGGACAATATGCAACTGAAAACTCACACCCCAGAAGTGACTCGAACCCATACTCCCAGATGCCACGCAACTGGTATGTACAAGACGCCTTAATCCACTTGACCATCACGACCGGACATAATGAGGTGATAGCCGAGGCTATTTGAACCACCCCACCGCCGGCACTCGGATAGTAATCTTGGGCATAGCATTTTACCAAATCACCTCATTCTTTGGGGCACACGTGAGGAACACAAATGCGAACAAGCCTGAATGGTCCCCAGGACAATATGCAACTGAAAACTCACACCCCAGAAGTGACTCGAACCCATACTCCCAGAAGCAACGCAACTGGTATGTACAAGACGCCTTAATCCACTTGACCATCACGACCGGACATAATGAGGTGATAGCCGAGGCTATTTGAACCACCCCACCGCCGGCACTCGGATAG